TAAAATTGTATCAAAAAATGTTATAAAATCGAGAAAAAATATCCAGTTGTCTCAGAACCAGCAATTATCAACAACAGCATTATCATTTTGTTTTTCAGCATTAGAAATTTTTAAATACAAATTGAAAAAAATCTTATTCTCACTTCCTCATATGGATTCTCTTTGGAGTGCTTCCCTTTCCTTAACTTCAGAAATTCGTGGGATATCTGTGCTCAATTCCTGGATAAGCCTTTTTAATATGTGAGAATCTTTGCCCTTAACTGGATGATTTTTCAGTGGAATCACTAACTTGCTTTTTACTGTTAAGATTGTGTGAGTTTTTGATTGGAGTTTCTACCAATTCATCCACATCCTCCATTTCCTCATCTTCTTGGATCACTTCTGAATTGAGATTACTCATCCTCCTAACTATCAATGAAGTATTTGACTGAGAATCTTGTCTAGAAGTATCTGTAATAGTCTTGGCACTTTGATTGCACTTAGGAAAAGGGACATATGGGGGCACTCTAGGAAAACTGGGTTCAAGTAATATATAAAAGGGTAATATTATATACAGAAAGGTTCTTTTTATGAAATATACAGAACCAGTGTATAAATTTCAGTGTGTAACTAGTACAAATTTAGAAACTATCTGCAGGAAATTACTAATGTGTGACGTTACACCCAGGCATTGCATTGAATTTTATATATCAGTGTTGGCAAATGACTGGTCATATGACATATGACTTACATGACTTGTCATAAGTCATTTGGTCATTCATAAAGGGTATATGACTTATGACATTGAATATTTTTTGGCCAATCAAAAAAAAGAATTAAATTCAAAATTGTTTTTTATTTTATTATTGCAAAATTCAATAATTATGATAATTATTGATTATCACTTGTAAAAAAATATGGTAATGGTTCTAAATCATCAACAAAAATACATGACAATTCCCATTTTAAGTTGACATTATCTGCTGGATGAATATTATTTACTCCCACCAAAAAATCATTATCCAAATCTTCTTCAAGTAAACTTTCATCACTATGATTTTCTAATTGGCCTTCTTGACTTGCTTCATCTCTCCAATGAGCAACAATTATATTCCATTGATTCACATTTTCATCAGAATTAGAATTCACTGATTCATTGTCATTCTCCAAAAAATCATCATCATTTGTTTCATGATTTTCATTTACAAATAAATCCTCTTCATCAATAATTTGTACATCATCATTATCATTTTCATCAAAATGATCAAGGATAGTTGGTTTTGGAATATGAAGTTGCTTTATTTGTCTATCAGTTTGATCATCTTTCTTAATCTGATGTTGGTACAAAATATTGCTATGAATCTGACTCATTGCCAGGACTTTATTATGCTATAAAATAAAATTTGCAACTTTTTTATATACTAAATCCATTAAATAAAATACATACTGATAATCGGTTTCTCCTATTAGTATGAAAATATCCCATTGAGGACCATAATCATTCTACTGAGGCTGAATTTACACAAACATTTGCTAATTCAGGCCCAACTCCAATTGTCAACTCCCAAAAATTCAAAATATTTCCTTTAAATTGCAAAAAAGAATCATAATCATATGGATCATTCCCCCTTCTATAATCAATCAATTCTGCTAAAATACTAGTTGCTGGTTTTCCATAAAAGGCATGATAATAATACTTCAGCCACTGACCAACATGTGTCCATGATAAATTGTTTATAGTTGATCTAAATTTTGATAATTTATAAGAAGGATGAAGAATAATGGAAAGCAACAAAATTGGTTGCTCCCAACCCTTCCACCACTTTTCAATTCTAGAAACCATTTTTTCAGAAAAGTCCAAATCATGATGTGTAGAAAAAATGTGTAATGTATATGCAAAGCAATGGACTACTTCATAAAGTCTTTCAGCATATTTTTGTACTTGATTGAGAAAACAACACAAAGGATTAAGCCAAATAACTTAGTAGGCTCACAAGCCAGCTTGTGAGGAGCTTTACAAAGGATATAATAGATTTTGTAATGAAAATAGCTTGGACCAAAATACTGGATCATTAATACTATCTACAATATCATCAGGTAACCAATGTTTGCTATTTCTAGTTGTTCTTCTGTCCACTGGAATATTAGGAATACCATTTGTATGAGTGACACTTACATGATCAGGATTAAATTTTGCTGCTAGGAACTATGAAATGGAGAGTTTATTTATTATAAAGTATTAAAATACTATAAACATAGTAATTAAATTAAAAAATTACTTTTAATGCTGCTTGAGTCTTTAATACAGAATTAAAACAAAAATAATACGAATTCCATATAGTGTCACTAGGTGAAACCAATTTTATTGATTTCTTATAAATCCTTAGTTGCTCATCTCAAAGATTACCTGTAAAATAACCAGATTTATGGAAAAAACTAACAATCCGAACCGCCTCTTCAGATATTCTTTCAAAAATAGTACTTTCTTTAAATATTTCAGCCAATACCAAATTCATCTGGTGAGCCAGCCATGCAAGGAAGAAATATTTTATCAGGATATTTTCTTTGTAAAATTTTTCTAATTTAAATTTAAATTGTAAAAATTATTGTAATATATGTAAAATTTGAATCAATAGTTATTTTAATAACACACCTGGCTGCAACATACTCCCCAGCAGAATCAGATATAAATGCTGTAGCATTTATGTTTTTGTCATTAAGTTCATTCATCAAGTTTTCAAAATGATGTATGACATCATGTGTTTGTGATCTTTCAGAAGTAGTTTCTTGAGCACCCCAAATTAATGGTTTCCCATTTGATGTAACCAGTACTACTCCCCATAGCTTCTCTTGTTTTACATTTGACCAACCATCAACAGCAACAGTTACTCCATTTTCATCTGATTGAGCAATTTTAATGATTGATTCTTGTAGATTTTTAGATGTGTTTAGCAAAATTTGTTCACCAAGTTTTTTACATGTTGGAAGTTCAATGCCAGGTGCCAAAAAATTAAAAAATGCTTTGGTATCCTCATTTTCTATAAATGAAAAAGGCAAACCATTGGATACACACATCCTAAGAATCAAGTTTTCTAAATAAGGGATATCTTTCTGGGACATTGGTCTTCAAAGGTAACCAGAAATCAATGGTTGTTTTTGAATAATTGATAATGCTGTTGAAGTATCATTTGTAATATTTTTTTGACATTTAGGTTTTCTCTGCTCAACTTTATTATTTATTAAAATTATATTATCATTTATTAAAATTATATTAAAAATAAATTAAATCATATTATTATGCCTTCTTCTATTTTAATAATATATTAATTAATCATTACCTGCATCATTATTATTATTTTTCAATTTTCTTTTCTCTTCTGCCACTGGGTGTGATAAGATTTCAGATATTTCATCATCATTGAATGCATTTTAAAATTAATGCAATTTGATAAATGAGAATGACAAAGAATTGCTTTATTTGTTGTATAACATCCAGGTATTAAAGCTGCAGCTTGAGCACCACCATTTTTTTCACTACAATACTTGCATACTGCTCTTGCATTAGTTTTATTATTAGGATTATTTATTAAAATAAAAAATTCTCTGTAAC